TATATTTCTTTTTATTTTTCATTTTTTCTTAACTAATTTATTTTTATTTCATATTTATATTAGTTTAAAATACATTCTATTATTAATAATATTAATTTAAAAGTATAATAATGTTTAGTATTAGTCAGATTAATTTAAAATAATATTTAAATACAAAAATAATATATTCTATATTTTTATATAAATATTTTATTATATTATAATTTTTAGAAATAAATAATATTTTTAATTTTTTTTCGTTATAATAATTTTAAGTGTTTGATTGTAAAATATATGGATAATTTAATTTCATATTAATTTAATTTAATAATGTTTTAAAAATAATACAAAATTAATATTATTGATTATTGCTAATTAGATAAATTACCAAGAATAAGAGTTAAGTATTCTAAACTTAAATAAAATATATATATTTAAAAGTAATTTTTTTGACATTAAAATATTTTCTTATTAATAATAATACCCTATATTAAATATTGCTATTTTTAAATAAAAATTTAATATTTATTTATATAAATTAATCTAATTTTTTTTTATATTTTCAATATAAAAAAATTAAACAATAAAATAAATAATATGCGCAAAAACGTTTATTATTTATTATAAATATAAATTATTATTTTTTATAAAAAATATATTTATTATGATTTTTTATAAAAATATATTTTATTTTATAATTTTTTTTTTTATATTATTTAGAATAAAAATTTGTTTTAAATTTTTATTTTAAAGAATTTTCTTTATATATATATTAAAAATTTTATATAATATTTTATAATGATTTTTTTTTTTAAATTTACTTATTAATATTTTCATTTAATGTTTAGTTGTTTTTTTGTTTTTTTGTTTTTTTTTTGAAAAATTTGTTTTAATTAAAAATTATGAAAAATCTTTTTTTTTTATTTTATATATAAAAAATTAAATATTTATTTTTTTATAAAAAAAAAATAAGTAATAAAAATAATAATGTCATTAATAAACCATTTTAGTTAAAAAAAAGAAATTTCAATAAAACATAATATTAAAAATAAAAAGTTAAAACAAATATTACCTTTACCAAATTTTAATTTATTTCTAATATACTAACAAGACTATAATAATTCACATCACTACTTACTATATGATGTAAATCATGACAAAAAATAAAATATGGGAAATTCCCATATAAATTTGATAAAATATATAATATAAACAATAATATGCTAATATTTAACGACCTAATTACATATTAACTAAGATTATATAATATAGAAACTAACGAATTAATTGATTACTTTAAACCAGACGCTCCATCTTTACTTATAGTTCCAGAAAATTAAAGAAATAACGAAGGTTTAATGTCTGATTGTATATGCTAATCAAATTTAATAATATTCAATAATAGTAATATAGTAGTTCTATAGGAAAAATAATAACTAATATAAGATTAAAATTTAGAATAATTATTATTTACAGCATTTACATTTGATTCGAATGAAATAAAAAATAATAATAATTAATGTAAGATATCATAAATATAAATAAATTTATCAAAAACAGAGAAAATTGTTTCTTAATTTCGAAATAATTCCTTAATAATTTGTTCTGCTCTATTTATAGAGGAAAAATAAAATAGCTTTTATTTATGGAAAATATTAGATGGATCTTTTTAGGAATTTAAAATAAAATCGAAAATAGGAGGTATTTTAATTTAAATTACTTAATGGGAGAAAAATTGGGAAATCGCATTTTGGTTTAATATGAGTAATTCTAAATTGATTATTTTAATTTTTGATATTGAAAATTAGATTGAAAATTTAAAGTCTTTAAATAGTTTTTAATAAGATATTTTACTTAATGTACTTCATGTAGATTTTGAAAAACAAATTTTAATTCTTTAAAAAATTAATAATTAAAATCTAAAAATTGAATTAGTTAATCCTGTGAGTCTTAATTTAATGAATTCTCAGATAATTCATTAAAATTTTAATATAGATAATATTTATTTCTCTAGTAATTATTAGTATTTTATAAGAAGTTATTAAAAAAATGGATAAGTAAATTAAAATAATATGGAAATTAATATTCAGGTAAATTATGTAATTAAAGTAAAGCCCATTTTAATGGGACTTTTAATAAAAAAATAAATAAACAAGGTATATGGTGAATAAGTCTGTAAACATATTATAGATATGATAACAAAAAATAATGATTGAAATAAAAATTAAAAAAATAATAAATTATTAATAATAATAATAATAATAATAATAATAATAATAATAATATTAATAAAGATAATTTAATACTAATAATAATATAATAATAATTTTTAATTGATACGTAAATAAAAACTTTTATTAAAATATTTATATACATTTAAATATATTTATATATAAATTAAAGGTAATTATTTGTAATTTGTTTTTATTTTAATATTTAAACATTTCTATGAGAATAATATTATCATTATTTATTATTATCTAAATTATAAAAATATTTTTTTTTATTATTTTATTGATATTTCTAATCAAAAATATTTTTTAATTTATTATAAAAAGTAAATAACGATATAAAAAAATATTCTTAATATTATAATATATTAAATATTTAAAATATATTTTTTTTAAATAAAAGTTTTATCTTAAAATCAATATTTATTTAGTATTATTATTTATTTTTAAATATATATCAATAAAATTAAAAAAAAAATAATAAATAAAAAATATTTAATATATATATATATATATATATATATATATATATATATATATATTATTAGATTCTATAAATAATAATGTAATTTATATATTTTTTATAAGAATAGGATTAACTCATATATTATTTTTAAATTTTTATTTTTTCATTTTTTTTTTTCAAAAAATCGAATATATTCTTTAATTTAATTAACTTAAAATAAATTTAAATTTTATTCAGTATATCTATTAATTCTTATATATGTAATACATATTTATATGTATATATGTATTTAATTTTTTATATATAAATATATTTATATTAATATATTATATATATATATATTTATTTTAAATCTGCATAAAAAAAAGTTAAAAAAATAAAATTTAAATAGTAAAAAACAAACAATACATTCTCTTTTTTTTTACTTTTGAATCAAATTAAAAAAAATAAAATAATATTTATTGATAAAATAAAAGAAAAAAAAAAAAAAAGAAATATTGAAATAAAAGAAGAAACAAAAATGAGCCAAAAGAACATATAATAAGTCCAAAAAAATAAAGAAAACATACTCGAAGATTAAAAAGAAGATTAAAACAGACATACTGACTTAAAGTTAATTGAAGAGAAAATAACCAAGAAAAATGGTGAAACAATTATAAAAAAATACCATCGAGGTAAGCTTTTAGGGAGTGGTGGTTTCGCAAAATGCTATGAAGTAACATAAATAGACACAAAATAGACTTTAGCAGCAAAAATAATACCGAAATCTACTTTAACAAAAAGCAGATAGAGACAAAAGTTGATTTCAGAAATAAAAATTCATAAATCACTTCATCATTAAAATGTGGTTTAATTTGAACATGTATTTGAAGATCACCATAATGTATATATTTTATTAGAACTATGTCCATATTAAACATTAAACGAATTGATCAAAAGGAGAAAAAGAATAACTGAATTTGAAGCGCAAATTTATATTATGTAAATAGTTAATTCTTTAATTTATCTTCACTAGAATAAAATCATACATAGAGATCTTAAATTAGGAAACCTTTTTTTAGGAGACAAAATGACTCTTAAATTAGGAGATTTTGGACTAGCGACTAAACTAGAAAATGATTAGGAAAAAAAAACTACTATTTGTGGAACTCCTAATTATATTGCGCCAGAAATTCTAGAAGGAAAAGAAGGACATTCATATGAAGTTGATATTTGGTCTTTAGGAGTTATTATATATACACTTTTAATAGGCAAAGTAATATATATATATATATATATATATATATATATATATATATATATATATATATATATATATATTTAGCCTCCTTTTGAAACTAAAGATGTAAAAACTACATATAAGAAAATTAGATAAAATAATTATTGTTTTCCAGAACATATATAAATATCTGAAAATGCTAAGTCTTTGATTTAGATTATTTTGAATTTAAATCCTTTAAAAAGGCCTAGTATGTATGAAATACTATAACATCCTTTTATGGTAGATGTTGATAAGTTTCCTTAGACTCTGCCTGTGTATACTCTTTCAGTTCCTTATAAGGAAAGAATAGGTAATAAACATTCTTACTCTTAGAATAATTTAAAGGCTAATTTATTGGAAAATGGAAAAATTAATACAGATAATAATAATAATAATTTTGGAAATATGAGAACTTAAAGTATTAAAAGTATACCTAATAATAAAAACTTAAATAAGTAGTATTCTTAATAATAAAATAATAATAATTAAAATTAGAATTAAAATTTAAAAAATACTAATATTGCTATATAGGCAGCTTCTGATATTTGGGTTAAATAATGGGTAGACTATTCAAATAAATATGGGTTAGGGTATTTATTATCAAATGGTTCTTGTGGTGTATTTTATAATGATTGCTCGAAAATTATAATGGATTAATCAGCATTATTTTTAGAGTATTATGAAAAAGTCTAGAATTAAAAATAAGATAAGTTAACAGTTTATAATATAAATAATTACCCGTAAGAATTGAATAAGAAAGTGACTTTGCTTTAGCATTTTAGAAGCTATTTGGAGAGCTAAAATAGTGATTAAGGGGATGGGTTGATGAAGTATAATTTAGATTAGTAGAAAAGTGATTTAGTATTTGTGAAAAAATGGATGAAAACAAAAAATGCGATTATGTTTAGATTATCCAATAAAATTGTTTAGGTAGTTTTTTCAGATAAAACGGAAATTATACTTAGTAGTTAAAATAAATTGGTTACGTATGTTAATAAAAAGAAATAGAGGTAAAATTATTAACTTAGTTAGGCTTTAAGTTAATAAGATCATGAAATTTCTAAGAGGTTAAAATATACGAAAGATATTTTGACGTAAATGTTGGAGAACGGAAGTAAGAAATGTAAAGAAAAAGAAGTTTTAAGTAATAATTATTTTAATTTTAGTGGATAATAAAGTAATGTTTTAAATAATAAAAATTGAAAGTATTAGAATAGTTATTTTTTATATATAGTAGTAGAAAAAAAATAAAAAAAAAATATTTGTTATTTTTTTATAACTTTTTTTAAAGTTATTTTGTTTATTTTAAATAGGATTTTTTTTTTTAATAAAATAATTTATATAAATATTTTATTTATATATTATTTAATTAATTATTTATTAATCATTTATTTATAAATTTTTTATATATATATTAATTAATTATTTATTAAATATCATTTATTTTTTTATTAATAAATTTTTATAGAATTTTATTTTTTAATTATTAAAGAATTTATTCTTTAATTAAATATTTTATAATTTTTTTATATATTTTTATTTTAAATATATAAAAATCTATTTTTAATTTTTAAAAAACTATCAATTTTTAATTAATTTTAAAAATTTATAACATGTTTTTATAATTTATTTTCTTTTATTTTTTTTTCGTTTGTAAATTTTTTTAATATTTTTCAAAAATCAATTTTAATTTTTATTAACTTTATATTTAATTTTTTTTTTTTTTATTTAATTTAAATTATAATGTATTTTTTAAAACAAAAAATACACATATATAAATTAATAAAGACAAAATGTATATATAAAATACATAATAATCTGTATGTAATTTGTCCAATAATTATTTAAGCCTAATTATAGGACGTCGGATTGAAAACGAAAGCATACATATATAAAACAAATATCTTAATATTAATAATAGCATGGATTATAGTAATATACTTATATATTCATATATTTTATTTATAAGAATACAAAAATTTATATATAGAAAAGTATCCGATAAAAGTAGAACAATTAAAAAAAGTTAATAAACAAAATAAAATAAGCATAGAAAAAACATTAAATAAAAACAATTATTGTTAGATAAATTAATCTTTAATAGATTTTTAATAAATTTAATAATAATATACTTTATAGTAGTAGTAATAATAATATTTTAAAAGTTAATAAGATAAGAAAAAAAGAGAAAATGTAGTAAGCTTTTTAAATAAAAATAATAAAATATTGCCTAAATAATAAATTTAAAAAACTAATTTTAGTTTCTAAAATTAAAGGATTTTAGAATTTTAAAGAAACGACAATAATTTCTTTTCGCAAGAAAAATAAGAAAATAATCAATCTTATTAGGAAACATTTTAAAAAAATTCTAGCAGGGATTCTACTTTTTCATTTAATATAAAAAATAATCTTTCTAAATATATTAAAAATTAAAAATCTCCAATGTTAAAATAAAATAAAAAATAAGGAAAAAATAATAACTTTAGTTAATATTCTTAAAAATATAACTTATAATAAGGTATATATATGGCTACTAATTAGTAAAAAATAATAATAATTTTATTTTATATTATTCAAAAAAAGATCTTAAAAAAAATCTTAAAGATAATAAAATAAAATAATTCAAATTAGATAAAAAAAAAAATCAAGTAAATAATAAAAAAATAAAATAAGTAAATATATAATAAATATTAGAATTTATTTTAAATAATAAATAAAAAAAAAAGTAAAAAACATGATTAATGTAAAAAATATAAAGAAATAATAACAAACTCCGGAACAAATAAAAGATAAAGAATAATATATGAAAGAAATATAA